CTCGCTGTTCACAAACACTGCCTTTCTTCTACAACAGAATTGTGCATGAGACGAAGACTTATTGGTGATTGTCTTCCTGCTACAGCCCCTCCTAGGTCCTGCCTACATTCCCCATACTTATTGGTGATTGTCTTCCTGCTACAGCCCCTCCTGGGTCCTGCCTACATTCCCCATGGAAGACAGTATTGTCCAGGATATCAGGTCAATATAAATCTTCCATGTACTCACAATGTTCTGTTTGGGAAGTAGACATGGCAGCAGCACAACAACTACTTTCACAGCACCACATCACTATTCTGTGACAACACTTGGCAATACAGGAATTTAATCGATTATCCATTTCAAACATTAAATATCTCTTCATGTTATTAAAATTAACTGATCAGAAATATATCAATATTTAATCGAAGTAGGCAAAAACAAATACTTTAGTCTTTGCTCATGCAATTGCTCAACCGTTTTATAGATTTCCACTGACAATATGCAGTAATAGAGGAGGGAATTATACAAAAGTATAATGTACCACACCCAGGGATTGGGAAAGGCAGGGGCCATGGGCCATTTTGCACATTAGAATAAGAAATGGCCCATTAAAATAAGTTTACTATTGATACAAGGGCTGTGTCCCATTCTAAATTAAAAAAATGGCTAATAATCCTGAAAATGGCCCATTGTCAAAGTTCTCTATCCCAATCCCTGTACACCACATCAAACCTAACAGGTGGGACTGCCTTCGATTCAAAAACATAAAATGAAATATTCTTGGTAGAATCTGAAACAATCCTGTCTTAAACATCCAATAGGATTCATATATATGTAGAGAACTCTAGATATGGGTTGAAAAGGTCTGTAGGTATTGTTTGAAAAAACCTGTTGCTTTCAAAGATTCTTCTTCACTTTATACAGAAAAGTCTTAAATTTACAAACAAAAATATTTACATGCTGCTTTTTGAAAGAACAGTAAGAAGACAGACAGGCCTTCTTCATTGACAATAAATTTCGTAACACAAGCTAAATGTTTTGTTAGATTTCAATTTCCAGAAACTGATCAAGCTTGTTTGGCCGAGTGTGAACATGGAGGATGTCACTTGAACCATGACATGTCCTATGTTTCTCTGATCATGGTTAAAGTAGAAACTTAGGACACTGGTAAACCTGGAAAACTTGGAAAACAAATTTCATTTCAGGTTGAAACACCATCCTTTATAGAAAAGAAACATTCTTAATGCCACAAGATGCACACTGGATTGAGCAGCATAAACCACGAGTTTCCACACCTGTCCAAGGTATAAAATCCTTCAGATTTATGATTTATACCATCTGTCACCTGTTACAGTTTTATTGCCTGGTAGTAACAGTCCTTCCATGCTTCACTGACCAGCAATAATGTATAATACAGGAGTCAAAGGTAACCTACACTTGTCTGTACATACAGGTTACACAAGTAACAGGTCTTATTAAACATTGATAAATCATTTGTCTCAACTTAAGAGACTCTTCCTGATTATCCCAATCCTATACATGAAGTTCAACCATGTCAGAAATCACACAAGTCATGTACATGCACTCAAGGCCCACAGCCCCGAGCTGTACACTTAGCACTGGATATAATGATTGTGACCGCACAGTGTATGACCTTATTGGAGTAACCGTGATATAAAGACAAGGCCATGTTAACAGGGCATTATCATAATACACATACGTTCCTACTACCCAACAGACAATGGGAAGCTTGTCTATCTGATGGATCTATGTTCAACAGAGTGCAAAATGAATACAAAATGAAAGTGGGGAATCCGACATCAACTTGGGAAATATTCTGAATGATCATCAGTGTACCATTACATCAACAATAGATTAGCGTAACAGAATAAATGTACTTTGTTCTCTGAAGACATACACCAGGCACTTGCCAGACGTGGTCATATGATTCAGAAGATCAAACAAATCCCCAACGTCTAATTACACGTTTCAAAATTCCCTGAGTCTGATAAAAACTTCTCTTTTGGAGTTAATTAAGTGGATGCAACTTGGTTTCTTTATTGTTTAATGCTGCACCTAGCAATATTCCAACCTTACTGTGGCAGTCTGTAAATAATCAAGTCTTGACCAGACAATCCAGTGGTCAACATCATGAGCATCGATCAACACAATTGGGATACAATGACTTATGTCAACCAAGTAAACGAGTCTGACCACCCAAACCCATTAGTCGCTTCTTACAACAAGCATGGGTTGCTGAAGACCAGTTCTGACCGGGATCTTCATGGGTAGGATTTTACTTACATCGGAACTACTACAAGATAGTGGGCACAGGCTTCCAGGTAACAGATAAAGTAGCTCAAGTAGTGTATCATTTGTCTGTAGTGAGTGAGACCATTATATACCTGAGTGATACACAACTACAATCAGACTGAGTGATACACAATCAGAATTCTGAACAAACTGAAGATAGGTAATTCATCAAATTGTTTCTTGAATGGAACAAAGACAGTAACTATCACACTGGTCACATCATCAGGATCTGTCCTTGATTAATTGGCAAAGTAATTTTAGCCAGTACTGCTAGACCAAGTTGATTGACTGCAACAGTGACATCCTTGCTGAACAAATTCCAGTCCCTCCTCAGCTCATTCTGCCCCTCACAGACAATGACAGTAATCAAGTGAGTGTTTCACTAATGAGGTACTGCTAGGTTCTCTTCATGAGAACATTTCCAGATATTGTCTTGAGACATTAATTAGCAAATGAATAAATAGTACTTGTAACACACATGGCCACTAGTAGACTCCATGGAAACAGTTCTGAAATGTATTACTAGAAAGACATCAATACACAGGGTTGAAAACTCTATTCATAATATCAAAAACAGAATAATTAACGGTCATGAACAGTATTGAAGAATGAATCCACTAGGTGTGTCCACCTCATGTATCAATACATTGTGCTATCATTACGTCCCTCTGGATTTTGTGATAATCAATATGGTATATTTTTGCATGAATTTCTCCATGTCTCACAGGAGTGAGCGAGTGAGTGAGAAAGAGTACTTTTTCGCTGCAATATGCCTGTGAAAGACGCAAGAAATGGACTTCACAAATTGTACCCATGTAGGGTATTGAGTGAGTGAGTTTGGTTTTACACTGCTTTCAGCAATATTCCAAATATCATGGCGGGGGACACCAGAAATGGGCCTCACACAATGTACCCATGTGGGGAATAGAACCCGGGTCTTCAGCATGACGAGTGAATGCTTTAACCACTGGGCTACCCCACTGCCCCTGTAGGGTATCGAATCAGATAATGATACATATGACTGTCAAACTTTCTGGTAATCAATAATTAGGAAATATTTCACCATTTCACAGTGTCTCTGCTTCACTGGTTCAACCTTTTATTAAATTATTCTTATTAGATATAATAAATGATTATAATTACAGTGATTAATTCCAGATGAATACAGTTTTTGATGAGTTTTGGTCATATGCAACTTATGCCCATTCAGTACATTCAGTACACTGCCTCCAACCAAGTTCATACAGAAATTACAAATGATTGAACTGTACACCTGTGGCCACCTGTAAAAATACTGGCTATTCAGCAATAATTTGCAAGTCACAATACCACAGTAAGGCCTAAAAAAATAGAAGTTGTGGTTCCGACTACCCGACCGACCCTTGAATTCTGGTGCAGACCCTAGTTCTTTAAAGAGGTATGAATAAAGTAAGCTTTCAGATACCATTGTTTTTTCCTGGCACCAACGGATATTGGTCATTCTGACAGAGAAAGTTGACATTATGGCCGCAAGCTTGACTGAATAAACAATTACACATTGATAAATGTGTTATTTGTTCGTACTTTACTTCTAAAACAAAATGTGAAAAAAGGAAAAGAATTCCTACCTACCCTAAATTTTAAAGAGGTGTAATCTTAACCACAACAGGTATTTTTGTTTGGCCTAAAAAAAGCTACAGTGAACTGAGGCAGACACTACTGGTCTAGTCTGCAGCTTGTATCAGACAACTGGCTGATGAAAATTAATTGGATTTAGGTTAAACCACTAGTCCCTCTACATTTTCACTCATTTTGGACTTAACGACTAGTGACCACGTCTATCTATTGTGCATCTCTAGACAATGTATCAAGACAACAGCATTTCCAGTGAAATATCTGAACTAAAACCTCATAGGAACATAGGTTTGTTCCTTCAACTGTAAACAGCTATCGTCTGGATTATGGGGTTTCCGGACAAACAAGGTTTCACTGTAGATCATTGTTGGTATAATTTTACCACTTGTGTCTTTTCATGTCGAATGGTTTGGTAATTATCACTGACTATTTACTTTTGAATCAGTCAGGACAGACTGTAATCCATGCGAACCCATCAGTGTTTAGACTGAGAAGCTTTTAAAAACCAAAAGCACTACTCTTCCAATGGCATTGACACATAATGAACTCTTAACCTTTAGTCAAATATCACTTTGTTTACCCCCACAGTTTATCTTTGTCAGAAGATTTGGTCTGGGTTTAGCTACAGTTCAGTCCTTCAGATTTTAAACTATATGTACAAACTGTTTATGTCTTTTTTCACATATATACAATTGCTCTCTTGCTTAAACCTTATACATATTAATGATTTCATTTCTGGTTTTACTTGTTAAGTTCTTTCAACAAAAGCATTTCAACAATAGCTAGGATATATCCTGATCCACAGATAGCTTTCATGTGAAAGGTTAAGGTCATATCAGCTGTTCCTAACATTGTATAAGTGGGTGTATCACATCAAATAGGTCAGGGTGAAGGTCACTTCCTAACAATGCTAAAAATGTTTTGCAGTAGAAAATATACATTCTGCATTGTCTGAATGCTTTGAAGTATCCCGGCCCTTCATTCGAACAGTGGATTGTCCTTACAGCTTATTATGCAGCTGATACAGGCTGCTTCACTTTCCTGGCTGTTGTTATGATATGACATTAATATATGTAAACTTATACACTTACCAACTACAGTGACCTCGTCTGGTTCCATGGCAACGACATGAACTCCTTAGTTACCTCGACCTGCTGTTGTGGTGAACATTACCTGGAACAACAATACCTATATTAGCATGGACAGTTGTTCTACCTTTATCACAGAGCACAACCCTGTACAGTGTTCCAGCTCATGCATGCTTTGTAGCCATGTTAGCAACATTGTTTGATTGAGTGAGTGAGTTTAGTTTTATGCCGCACTCAGCAATATACCAGCTATATGGCAGCAGTCTGTAAATAATCGAGTCTGGACCAGACAGTCCAGTGATCGACAGCATGAGCATCGATCTACGCAACTGGGATACGATGACACATGTCACCCAAGGCAGCGAGTCTGATCACCTGATTCCATTAGTCAATTCCATTAGAACAAGCATTGGTTGCTGAAGATCGATTCTAACCCGGATCTTCACGGGTTGTTAAAAACAACTTGCACATGGTATATATTATAGAGTAGACGATTCTTTAGGATTATCAGAAAGGTTCACAACATAACACAACTTCAATCCAGAATGTTTTGCAAATAAATCTGTCATGAATATCAGAAAGTCTGGCCTGTTTATATGCTGTAAAGATTTTCAAGTAAAATATATATTGACAATATTTAACTTGTTCTATATGTTGATTTATTAGAAGAAATTATCAGTTTAAAAAACATTCTCATTTTGCATGTCATGCTGTCATATCAAGATGAGATTTCAGTATCTCATCATCTGGGGATACACAGGGGATGGATGGCTGAGAGGTAATCTAGTGACCTAATTGTTTTGCTAATACATGAAATAGAGAGTGAACTTTCGAGACAATTCACAATTATTCCACAGGAATCAAATAACAGTGACTGTCATATTTATCTATATACATAGCAGGTATTGATATTCATACTCACATACCATGTCTATGTCAACACTGATCAGTCTTACTCATATACTCTCCCACACTTATAGTGACTCTATAAACCATGATGTAATCCTATCATGTACATGTGGATACAATCTATTGACATTTCAGGAGGAAACATATTCATTTACTTTGTTTGTAAACATTCAATAAAAAAACATAAAAAGATTCAGTAAAAATATGCGTTCATTATCTGAGATATACTTAACACACTGAAAGCCTGGGCCTAGATTTTCGAAGCTCTCTTAGCGACTAAGAAAGTTGTAAGTTAATGTTCATGTATGGCACTTACGACTGTCTTAGGACTAAGAGAGCTTCAAAAAGTCTAGGCCCTGAACTATACTGGGTAACCAGACATGATAGACATAGTCAGCCTGGATCAGCTGTGTGTTCTCTATACACAACCTGTTAACTGCCTCTCCTACAATCCACTCAGGCAGTGAAGCATATAGATGTTCTTTGATGTACATGTATTATAATAATATATGACAGTATACTCCCAACTGTCTGCCACAATCTCACAAGTCACCAACAACTGCCAATAGTTCATTACTGCAATACATCAAACATGACTTATCCTTCACCATTGTTTAATTAATGGTTTACTGGTGTCACTATAAACTTCATAAAATTTAGCATTCTGCAATATAGCCTGAATGATCAAGGACATAATAGGCTACACATTATTATACATGTTTACATCATTTAATTCACTACAGAAATGTGTATCCAGTACACGCAAACATACATAATGGACACAGAGCAAAAATATATATTGCGTCCTGAGGAATGCATGAAATTTAAAACATTCAGTGCAGGGATTGGGAAAGGCAGGGGCCATGGGCCATTTTGCACATTAGAATAAAAAATGGCCCATTAAACTTTTGAAGTTTACTATTGATACAAGGGCAATGGCCCATTCTAAATTCAGAAAATGGCTAGTAATCCTGAAAGTGGTCCATTGTCATAGTTCTCTATCCCAATCCCTGCAGTGTACCAAATTCTTGTCAAGAAATATTTATAAGGTTCCTGTAAAATCATCCCTAAATCAAACGGTGCAGTACACTACACCATAATATTACTTAAAGGGCCCTCATATTTCCTGTAAGAACCCTTAGAATTAGTAATCAGGGGTCTTCTTGATCCCTAGTTTTGTTGGTCAAAGTAAAACCCTGATGTTTGCACAAATACTCTCAAGACACTACACAACTGACAAAACAAATTAGACAATATTTTGATATCAAATATACATATTCCTTAACATAAAGCAAAATTTCAAAGACACAGCTGCCTTTGTTTCAAATGTTAGCTAGAATATCTAATTTTGTCAAATATTTTCATTCATAATGAACTTAATAATGTTATTGTTCCCATCTAAGGATGTTTCATTAACATTTACTTCAGTGGTCAGGGCTGCTGCTGCTTTTGGTAACTTTCTCTTTCCTTTCATATGCACCTGCAAAGCCTAACGAAACATCCCCTTTACAAGATCATGAATCATGCTATACTTCATAAAATGTTGACATAACATGCTTGAAGCAAAATGACCTACAATGTAGCATGATGTTTTATACTGGGTAATATCAGCTCTACACACTTCATTTTTGAAGGCTTGTTTGATATAATAAACATACAGTTATGTCAAATATTGGCATATAAACATTGTTTATGAACCATACATTCAAACAGTACCATTGACTTCACAATGACAATGACATAGTACGTAAACTGCCGTATTAATGAAAGAGAATATTTGGCAAACGCGTCGTCCGGGAATAATTTTTGAACCTGTAGTTATTTTATCTAACAACCAAATGATACACATTCCTACCTTCATCATAAACTGCATATTGTGAAGTTTGATCCAACAACGAACCGACAGTGTTGTTTACAAACAAAGCTGAAATATACCTTCAAATCGATTTAGTGAGTCAAGTGTTTGCAGATCAGCTGAGTAACGGTTACGTCACTTGGCCTGTTGTTTCAGGCCCACTGAGACACTGTTGTTTCTACCTGGTTTGCTCGGCTAGAGAACACGGCGGGGTCATAGCAAGTGAGCGACATACTGCGAATATACAGGTACAACTGTGTGCCATCATCGAAAGAAAAACTCTTCCGCTTCGAAGCTTAGCCTCGGACAGCCTTCCTGTCTCCGCTAATTTCCAAGAGAAAATGAGACCAAAAGTGGCCTCATTTTGGTAAACAACTAATGATAATATTGTCCAGGATACTTACAATATTCCCATGTCCATTGTAAATAGAAACAAACTTTCATCTATCATAAATATATGTCACCAACAGTACAGTGTATCCCTATCCATAGTTGTCACATCGTCACCAGTGTGTAACTGCCTTTGATTGGTTGATTACGGGGAAAACTAGCCAATCAGAAGAACCTTTGTGGTATCTTAGGCACCTGCTCTTGTTGCGTTTTGACGATACATTTTCAGAATAGAAATAGAAAAGTATTTCATTTTCAATTTGTTTGTGTGAACTAGTAATGGTGGGCAAGGTGTAAATGGGCACAGTTGCCCGAACACCTATTACATTTTTAATTATCTAGCTATCTTGTAACTACCAATATAAACAAATCTCGATAAGTTGTAGTTGAAATGAAGCAGGGTTCGAATTCCAACACGGGTACAGTGCATGAAACCAGGGAGACTATATAAGAGACTATGTTGTAGAGCATCCCTGATGAAACCTATGTTGTCCCCCACCGTGAAATTGTTGGAATGTTGTTGAGAGTCTCCTTCACTCATTAATAAGAATACTTACTCCAATAATAAGAATGGGGAAGGAAAATCGATATTCGACTCACAATTAATATTAATATATCTGTCCACCGATGCAATTTAATGGTATAAGTTGGAAGTTTGTAACTACCAACTTCATTTCAGACAACAATTTCTCCATAAAAGTTTAAATCGCATAATTACTTTACTCTTAAATTCTCTTACATGAAGCATTTACAACCACCAACATCACTCAAAATGTTTTGGGGTTTATCAAAATACAATATAGAATCAATCCAGTCACAATACGGACAGTCGGGCGCTATGAACAAGACTTTAGAAATGTAAATGGTGCCTATATTTAACTAAGCGAGCTTTTAGATTCTGTTGTAAACATGTATTTATTTCTCTAACTGTAACTCTAAAAAAAAAAAAAATTCACGTCAAAATCGAAAAACACACGGTGACATTTTCGCAGTGTGATATTCACTCAGTTCACTGCCTGCATCATTGAGAGTTACCGAACCAATGCATCTGCTGTTACCACATCGCTGAAACACGGTTCATGAACAAACGTAAAGCATCACATTATTTGTCTATCGAACACAACCAGTATCGCACTGACATCGTCTCGAATGTTTACAGTCTAGTGATTTGTTTAGATTTCGGATTGAGAGTAGTACAGTAATGGGTCGATTCCTCTCTCAAATAAATTTGCCATAGGCGTTAGGAAAAGTTTCCATCTATAAAGAGCACTTGTTGTTTTCACTTTAAGTCACCGAGAACAGAGATCTATTATATGGTCTCTGCTGAGAAACACATCTGGTAGGCCTAACGTGACAATTTAAGTCTTAGCCGATATCATTATTACAATACACTAGATTATGGTTGGCAATGGTGTTATATTGGAAATGCTGGATTCTGCATACTTTTCTCGACGATTATGATGATGATGATGATGATGTTTCTTTATATTGCTCGGCATCCCATTATATGGCCAATCAAGTACGTATACAACCCAAACGAATTGTTTAAAAGGACGTGAAGAATTATTTGTATATGATTCCATGTGTGATTTTCAGTAAATGATCAGATATAACGATAAAATACAGTACACCGATCCTCCTCGCTGTTCTGAGCGGTGGGGTAGCCTGGTGGTTAAAGCGTTCGCTCGTCACGCCGAAGGCCCGGGTTCGAATCCCTACATGGGTACAATGTGTGAAGCCCATTTCTGGTGTCCCCGCCGTGATATTGCTGGAAGATTGCTAAAGGCGGCGTAGAACCATACTCAGTCAGTCCTCGCTGTTCTTTGAGTGTTCTTTTGCATCGTTATTAGCAATGTCACAAGAGGAGGACCTTACATCGTGAGTCACTGTTTTCATATAGATAATCGGATCTTCTGCTATAAATGGACTGTTCCAAAGACCACCTGGGGTGGGATAAGATGTCATAATACACGCGGACCAGTTGATGCTCTTGAAAATCTGCACAAACATTCTGATATTTTGAACGCAAATCTGTTGATTGTAAATGAAATAAGGAATATGCGCGAGGGAATTGTACATGTTAAAACGTTTGTAAATAGACATTTTATAGATTATGGTCATATATTACGGCGTTTCAGTGACATCTATAGAATGAATAATAAAACCTATACAAGGGTGGGTAACCTGTTTCTGGTGTCTCCCATCGGAATATTGCTTCAATAATTCTAGAATCGGCATGAAACAAGCCGCGTACAACATCAATATAATCGAAATCAACTGTAATAGCAAAATGTTTTTGGGAAAAGGTATATCCAAAGTGGCTTTCTTTTTTACATCGTATTCTGTCGTGTGCTTTTTTGTTTTTGTTTAATGTTTTCGCTTTTTAGAAATAAAGCTATATTCACATTCCCTCTGTGAAGTTCCGGGATTTATATTTCGTTTCGGGTTATTAATGGCTACACATTTTGAATAAACCTGCTAATTTGTATACTTCCGGTTAATTTTACAATGGAAGGTAGAACCCGTCTAAGAACGGTTAACAGTCCAAAAACAGAGACTAAACAAAACAGCACCGACAGCAGACAATTTCACTCTGAGATAAGCAATAGTAGTGACAATAGTAACAGCAGCAGAAGAAATGATGATTCAGCTGACCGCGATAAAAACGAAGATGAAGATGTGAGTTTTCTTAGGCCGGGGTGCAAACCTAAAATAAACTCATGGGTTTCCAATTAGTCTCCCATTGGCTACTCCTCAGCAGTGTAGATGTTATCTGCCCACATGTGACAGGACTGTAACGGCTATGGGTGCCTTGCAAGAGGCTGGCAAAGGTTAACCTTGGAATTTACTACTAGAATAAACATGTGCCTTATAGTAAATGTCCTGACAACCCTTTCACTACATATTTTGATGACTAAAGATATTTATTTGATTAGCATAAATGAAATTTTACTTATTTTCGGAAAATAAAATCTTCAGTATGGTGATGTCAGCATCAAATACGTGTACAGCCCTAACCCTGCACAGCATGGGGCAAGGGGAGTGGGGAGGTATCCATTTTCACAGTCTGCCTGAAATATGAAACCCTGAATGAAACTTTTAACCCACTCACAGGCTTGATTCTATGGAAACGCACCTCCTCTGGCCACCTGACTTATACAGTGGGAAATTCAATCTGGATTTTAAAAAGAGAAATATATTTTCAAAATGTATGTTTTGTAGGCTGTCTGCATCCATACATTTTATTGTGAGCCTTCATAACAAACTAGGTTTGATCCAACCCTAGCAGACTGCATCTCAATCCAACTTACCCATTTGTCTACTGTATATAGCAGTATGTATTGGCACAATTTTGGCAATATAACTCTGTTTTTGATTATTATATTCATCTTTTCAGCTGCAACCACAATTAGTAATGTGGCCCCAAGGGTAAAGGTGGCCGCTGTTTTCTGTAACGTGTTCTTGGAAAGGACACATTGTCAAGTATCTTTGTTTTTTGTGTAGGGTGTCAGCAAAGAATTGAAGATGTTGTCATATGGTCCGTCAGGAGGTCATGGTAAATTCATGGAAGACTTCGACCCAGAAAGAAGTGGACGAGAAATGAGGAAGATGAACCGACGGATTTACAGAGAAAGGTGCTACAATAATACATATACTCTGATCCAAAATCAATAATGACAGTAGATATATGTTACTTATGCGATGGATGTCAGACTTGCTTGGAAGAGAATGTATTTTAAATGAAGATTTAAGAGAATGAAATGTGCGGTAGAACATGGTGTAATATTTGCCTTAGTCATGGGTTCTTGTCATCACGCATGTTATATCTTGCTTAGAATGGGATCCTGTATCTACAACAAAATGAAAAAATTAAACAATCTGACAATCTGTCAGAGAGTAATTCTTTGTCTGTGAAGAACACAACCACGTTATCTATGATTGTTCTTATTTTCAGTGTTCGGAAGAACCAGCTGTACGATGAGACAGGTCGTTTGTTTGAGAACAGCAAGGATCTGTGTGACTGTCTAGAAGTTGACTGTCCAGGTTGTCATTTCCCCTGTTCCAAGTGCGGATCTGAGAAATGTGGATCTGAGTGTAGATGTAATCGTAAATGGGTCTATGAGAGTGTGGAAGTAGAGGGCACAGACATTGTCATCAAGTGGCCAACATGATTGGAATCGTCTATAATAAGTGTTCACCAGTTCATTCTCATGGGGAATCTTTCTTTGTGAATGCCTGAACTCCATACTGAAGTTGTGACAAGGGGAAACATTTTCTGTATATGTGCTGTTGCAACAAGTGAAAGCCGAAACAGACCTGCGACCTTTCCACCATTTCCAGTAAGAAGTTTATGTCAAGTGTTTTCTTAACATCATTGATGCTTCTGTTTATGCACTTTATGTCAGTTTGAAACTGGTGAAGTGAAATGGTTAAGAAATTATGTTTACTTAAAACACTGGTGAATGCATAGACACATTGTGTGGACATTATGTTGGAGATCTTTGGAAATCATAAATCAACAAATCACCATGCAAAGTTTTCATAGCCTCTGTAATGTTTACATGGAAATACAACTGCTCAAAACTTCATTCTGGCCCCATCAACCCTCATATCTTGAAAATAACTGTACATACTACATTTTGAGAAAACATAACAATGTAGTGTTATTAAGTAACATTTCCTACCGACTTATCTGGAGTGAATTTGTGTTCTGGACATCATCATGGAAAGTTTCTCAATAAATCAGTCTCACTGAACTTTGGTGTATCTGAAAATATATAGCTTTTCAACAACAGCTGTGATTTTATCTCTAAGTATGATGGTTAATGTCAGATTGATACTAAAATAATTGAACATATTCTTTATATGTATATGTTGAAGGGTTAATGCTTGCACAGCTGATAGTAATTGAACTTATTGTGCTTGAGGAGTTTAATAATCTTGTAAGGTTGCTAAATAGCCCAAACATCCCCCAAAAGCCAATCATTTTGCATCACCTCTTCCTTGTCTCCATCCCATGCTTGACTTCCATGCAAACACATTGCTATGCGTACAACATTGTCGCCATGTTTGTTTCACCAGGGTTAACCTCACAAATGCTGTGGCATTAAATCAAAAAAGAAATGTGTATCTTGCCTTGAGTTGTTGATGTTACTAGTACTCATAAATTACTTTGTTATTGATGTCAGTTGATAGTTTATTTAACATAATCTGGATGAAAGGTAAAGAGACAATGTTTTCAACTTTCATTTTAACTGATTGTATATAACATGTGTTTTTTTTATCGAATTCTTGTTGATTTAGCATTCATGACAAGGTTCATAATGAGGTTTATTGGAAATATAAAATTATTGTGTATTTTCCATTTTATTCTGTTATGATCAATAGTAATGTCTCTTTGCCTATGTGGATAAGTACATTTGACCTAACTATATACCTGCAAACTTTTTTTAGGGGCATTTAGAAGTTGGGTCACAGAGGAAGGATAACAATATATGGATGAACAATTTCTTTATTACAGTCACTCCTAGTGTCATATAGAAGTTGTTCATCCATATATTGTTATCCTTAGTTATCCCCTGGTGGGGTAGCCTAGTAGATAAAGTGTTAGCTCATCACGTCAAAGACCCAGGTTCGATTCCCCACGTGTACAATGTGTAAAACTCATTTCTGGTGCCGCCTGGCGTGATATTGCTGGAATATTGCTAAAAGCTGCATAAAACTTAATTCGTTCACACTCACTATGCAATTTAAAGCAGTATTCATGAACTGGTTTTGTAATACGTTTGATATTAAAGGAATATATAGTTATTGATCATAATTTGTTAGTACTGATGTTAAACATTTGTTGATTTTCACTGCTTGGGAAGTCAATTTGTTCATTCCTTAGAGAATAACAGAGGTTGCATTATCGTGTAGATGCAATATCTAAATCTCCACCACCATGTCTTCACTCAAATTTCCAAATGGCCATTTACTGGGGGATGTGGGGCATGGTAGGGGTGTGAATGGATGGACATTTGTACAACTGACACTCATCATGGATGCTCAGTTGCTGAAAAACTTCTCAGTATTAATTTGTTAACCACAGAAAACTGTAGTCATGCACATGCAATTCCATTTTTAAATTAGAAACGAAATGTAACTTGTAATGTGAAGAACTGCATTCCTAAGCAACAAAAAATAAGTGAGATGTGTTTTTTAAATTCCAACTGGCAAGATATATAAATCTGATGCTGTCTGTCGTCGGTCAGGTTGGTCCATGCAACCTAAATTAGGGTCCAAAGTCATGTGTCCTTAGGTGTTTCTGTTGGTTGTGTCAGTGTATGTAGTTTCAAATGTTTTGTGAGACATTGTGATCGAGGACCATTTTGTGAAAGTACATGTGTATCTGAAATAGTCTTCATGGTGTCCAGTACGGTAAACTTGTCGAACTACAAACCTATGTTGTACAACATATTCTCGACTTTAAATATTGTCACATCAATCCTAGATTGTAAGGACTAGATTGTTTGGTGGTCAGGTTCTTTTATGTGCAACGTTTATGGTATGGCCTGTCTAACTTCTTTGAGAGGCATTTTTAAGTTGGAAGGATAGCAGTATCTTCTTTTGTCATTGAAATCAAAAACTTGTATCTTGGACACTGTTTGAAACTGTTATTGAAAATCAGAAACTGTTATTAAAATCACTTCTATTTATATACAAAAATTGTTTATGTCAAGAAAATCGTGACTAAAATGTTATTCTTAAATTCATTGTAACATGGGCCACATAACCTACATTACCGAATAAAGTCTGTCTGTCACTGTTTGTATCAGTAAACATTGTAGCAACAAGACAGCATTTTGACAGCAGGCCCACTTCCAGTACAAAACTTTTAACAGTCATTGCCTGAGATTATTTTATTGTTTTTATATTTTCAGCAGAAACCAGTCCAAACACTGAATATTGATGTGTTTTGGGGATTTAGTGATACACTTTAAAGTCTGATGCAGATTGTTGGTTTTACTGTATTTCTATGTGGATGCAGCCATTGGTGTTTGTTATTGGGTAAATTGGAGATGTAGTAATTATTACATAACTACTGCTCTTCTTCATAAGAAAATTGTAATAAAATATATGAACTGATGTGGTGTTTATTGGTACAGAAACCTGAAATGACAATGTCACTGGTATGGCAAGCTGCCAACAGAAAGGATGTGGGAATTGGAATGTCATCCAGCAAGAGAGAGACTGTGTATTAACAGCACCTTATTGTAAACTATACTGGTGCACACAGTGTTTTTCAGATGAGTACTTTATGTATTATGTATATAACCAACACATCATGATAATACAAGTCATTGTCACTGACCGAGATTCATCATGACACACACCTGAAGTTCCGGGTAAGAATTGGTCTTCAGCAGCCCATGTTTGTCTTAAGAGGCGACTCATGGGATCGGGTGGTCATGCTCTCTGACTTTATTGACGCATGGCATCGTATGTCAAGGATTGATTCACATGATGTTGATCGTGGTTCAGACTCAATTATCCATATAGCTGGAATATCCCTGAGTGTGACCTTAAACAACAAACAAACATCATGACCCAAAGTGAACAATTGAATGTGAAGGTGAATTTCATCTCAATATCTAGTATGCCCCCATGAAAATCCAGAACTACCTGGCATGGACTCCCCATGGAACCAATCTGATAAGGAATTGTGGCATGGGGCATCTTTACCTTCTCTTCCTTGTAGTGCTTGTGCCAAGGGTTTTAGGTTCTGTGGCTGTTGCTGACCTTATTGCAGACGTTGATCAAGAGTATCCCATCTATGTTCGATTGGGTTTTGATCCAAAGACCTTGAGGGCCATGGCACTACCTGGATGTTCTCAAACGGCCTTTGTCAGTCTTGCTGTGTGGTTAGGTGTTGTGTTGAAAAATGACAAACGTTTTTATTGCATAATGGGAAGTACGTGTGACTCTCGTTAAATTGCCATGGAGACGTCTAACAAGTCTGTTCCAGAGCTGTGGGATATTGGCGCCAATATCAGTACACTACCACAACTAAACCTGTCCACGTTCTGTTTGCAGTTTCGAGCATAACGCTACAGTACGTCTTCTGTCTGTACGAAGAAACATATGTTCTTGAAAAGAGCTGTCTATGGGGATTCGCTTGTGCTGAAAAAATATCCTTTTGTATTGGTTTGTTCTAAGACTGGCTATGGGTGTTTGGATCTGACGTACTCGTGACACTTTTAACCTGTTGATTACTCGCGTACTGGAAAGCGACGCTCGTATAATCATGGGAAGAGAAGAAGCAAACAATAGTGTAGTAAACGATAAAGGAAATTAACGTAGATTACAACTTCCAAGATAACAACTACCTTTACATTGCATAGAGCGACCTTTCGGTGTAGGTACTTATCGTGCTAAAAGGATCTACACAAGATATTCCTCTATGCTAAAAACATGAAGTTGTAATCTGCTTTGTTGACTTTCCAACTTCTTGAATGGAAATTTAAAAGCAGGGCCTGTGTCAAATCTAAATATTTGGCATATGAAGATTTATTACCCACGTGGTCAACGTATGGGTAGTTGCATACTAATCTCGTTGACGCTTATTTCTATTTGGAGGTTTTTTGTTTTATGAAACACGAAACCTGATTACAAAATTAGCATTATTTTCATGTGGTTTTCTCTCTTAATTACACACTTATGCAACACACAGTATACTGGGTATGTATGTTTTACTGACATTTACAATCTTGGCAACAACCAAACAACTATTGATTCCAGAAGATTTCAGCAATGTTTCACTGTGTTGTGCAATGAAATACACAGACGAACTTAGGTGTCGGGTATTTTTTGGAACTTCTTATAGATTATCATTTGACAAGTCGTGTACGTACATTTTCGTTGCATAGACTGCCTAAGCACAAAAAAATGGGGATAATTGGGTGGTTGAGGAACTCTCCAAGAGTGGTCTATTTGGCATTAATCGTTATATACACACATAAGTAGTTACTCGCAGAACGACATGTTACAGTAAATGTGCAAAATCATGCAATGTCTTTAAACAAATCACCCTCCGTAATATTGCTGGAATATTGCTAAACTCACACATTTAAACAAATCACGCAATTTGTTCTTTGATTCTCTTCATACATTCATTGACCGTTAATTTGAAAGATAGACTGAAATCAGTTGTAGTCGTTTAAAGTTGAGTTTCATCACCAGGCGACTGAACATGGTGATATTAACTAAAACAAAAACAAAAATGTGTAAACAGCAAAAAGTGTCAAAATCATTGCATATATGAGATTTGTTTCTAATCAGTTTTTGGGTTTGGCAAGTCATACTGTCATTTATTGTCGTTACTTTAAGTACAGTTTTCAAAGATTTAGTCTTGTATTGCTGGCCTTTGTCCACAAAAGTACCAAATTACTATTTGGTCTCTGGTGTCCCGAAAACATCGTAGTGTTCTTCTGAAACAGTACAAAACGAAGTCGAGTGTGGCGCAATCTGTTGTCACTGTCAATGTCAGCCACTGTCACCTCAACACACAATAAGCATGTCATTATTGTCATACTTCAGTAGCTCAACTGATCCCTGACTTTAAGGGTGGCAAGATGTATCACGGACCATCAAAAGAAGAGGCCAAATACCGTGAGTTCAGTGTAATAAGATTGTCGATTCCATTTCATTTCTGATTCTTCATTCAACAGCAAGACATATTCTTTCATTGGCATTCTGGCATCGTACCTTCTCTTTTTAGCAACTTCTTGGCAAAGTGTCTGCAATTCAATACCGTTAGTCATAAAACAAAGATACAAGTTTTCTGTATTAAACTACCTGGCCCCAACGAACATGCAACTTATGAAACGATTGACTTGTACCACGATAAACTATACCACTATGTTGGTGTTTCAACTATAGTGTGTTTCAGTTAGTGATCAACACGATGTGTGATTACAGATCCATGATTAGCTCAACGAGGATCTTCTTTACTTGATTCGCGCAATGCACGAAGCTAGTGAACGCTCTGTGCACGCTGCTGTTTAAGAAATACAGTTCGCTCTACCACCATGTGTAGTGTAATAAAGCACATTTTCGCCCTGAACTATTATAGTTAAAGCACGAGGTCGCTTGCGTCCGAGTGCTTTATCTTTATAATAGTTCAGGGCGAAAGTGTGTTTTATTACACTACACATGGTGGTAGAGCGAACTGTATTTCTTTTTCTAAGATGCCAAATTTAATACTTTCTAAGGATATTTACGATTAATCTAAGGCAGAAAACAAACCACGGTGTAGGTGACCTAAAATTATGAATCCTCGCACAGGGCTAACTGACGCGCTGTTCCTTTGACGTGTCTACCCCTCTACGTTAAGACGAAAGTTACCAGAAAAGCAAATGATAAACAGTTTGATGACGGTTTACGTTCGGGTTAAATATCTTCTCTAAATTGTTTTAATTACATTTGTGATTAACGTAAACCATATGGGGCAATATAAACGTCGCATTTCTACTACCATTGTAAGTTTAGATCAGTACATCCGGATGAAGCTGACTAGTCAAGCCACATTCCACGGATGCATTGTGGGAATGTAAACATTGCGAACGTTACCGTGTCGCTGTAAAACTGTCAGTCGAACCAGAGACCATATAATAGATCTATTATATGGTCTCAGGTCGAACTGAGACATTTTATCCGTCGGAAAACATAAACGTAATGTTTCCATTAGTGATGTTAGCCGAGTGAAGCAACTGCAAACCAAGAAACCGGATGCAACGGTGTAGTTTACTCTATTATTTGTCTTCGGGGATGAGTCATTCTCAAAAATTCGTGCATATTTCATGTAGGCAAAAATTGTAAATTTTGTTTTCTTGTTTTACCTTGAAATGTTGTTGATTACATTCATAGTATTCTGAATATACAAAACATAAATTATGCAAGCTTAACGACATTTCATTTTTCATATTTTACCCTTTTATTAGAAATTTCACGAAATTGCGTCACTACCGTTACGAAATTTGTAACGTCATTTTGAAAAGAAAAAATCCAAAGATGATATTCCTTTAATGTACATATATATTAAAACATCTAGTTTTACAACATAACATGGCTAATGAGTTTTGAAATTTTATATTTATTGCTTAAAAGGGGCCAACAAGCCAAACAATTCCTTTCTTTTCTGATTTGCAAAAATAAAGTAATATGTAGCCCCCAAAAAATTAAAATGAGAAAATGAATTAAATTATGCTTACTTGAAGCTCTAATACCAAACATACTTGCACTACAAATTCCAAACATAAACAGATAAATCAATGTTAATTAAATTAGGAAAATGATTATGTTATGGCATGGACATTGGCATTAATTGTTACAGTAGTGACATTTTTATTAATAGACAGTTTTGTATGTTTACTTTAAAAGATAAAAATTTAGATTTGTCAACCAGATATTTCAGAATGTTTGAAGAATATGTAATAGGCAAAATATTTACTTATGGGTGTCACTGTCATGTAAAAAACAGGTAAAGACTGCATGTTACGGCAGTGACATTGTGACGGCCCTATCACAACCATTTTCTTCTTTGTCACAGCCGTAACACTACCCTGTCCTTACCGTAACAAAAAAATCATACTTATATGCTTATTGATTCTATTTATTTTATACAAAAGTTTTATGTTAAATAAGATTCCAAAACATTTGATATCTTTGAATAGAAAATGTAGATACAAACAACATTCAATTAGAAAAATGTCACTGCCGTCACAAAATCTGTCCTTACCGTAACAAAACCCATGATAACGGCAGTGACAGCCACTAACAATATCGGTTTTAAAACTATAACTGGTCCTCAAAGTTTACTGAGCATCTGGTTTCAAATGATTTCCCCTACTGTCTAAGGTACTTGGCATTGTTTGGCTTCACAAAATTAACTGGTTTCAGCAGTAACCACCGTAACGGTAAGGACATACAGAAATCTCAGATATCATTTTGTACACACATTTTTTGTGATAAAATTCAGAAAAATGAATTTTTTGTGTCAGTGTTTGACAGCCATGTTTCCTCACTGCCATTGCTTGCAAACATGAAGTAGAATCAGAAGACAGTACAGGGAGTAATCATTATTGCAATTGTTTGGATGATGTTACGGTAGTGACATCAAACTTTGTGACAAAGTTTGACATTTTTTTACAAATTAATTTTCCTTACAAAAAAAGCCAAACCACGCCAATGATGTATCTGTAACATCATTAATTATGATATGTTAAATAATTTCTTTTGAAAAACACGAAAAAGACACAAAAATCAAATTACACATCGGCCACTGGAGTTGTGACACATGAAAATTGAGTAAAATTAGGTGGTTTTGAGGGTTTAAAATAAATATAAAAATATTTTTCCCCAAAGTTTGTTACTGTAAAGTGTAGAATACACTGAGATAAATTGGTTACCTTAAAAATATTACTGATTTTGACTTAAGATTATAACATGACATGAATTTTGAATCAACCCAATCAGTTTGTCATGATGAAGAAAGTCGCTATCTACCAAACAACCATATAAACTATATTCGAATATGCATGAACTTTCACTATCCATAAGCCAAACGAAAGTATAATTAATGCACTTTACCGGGCGCAGCCCTCGCTGCTCCCTTTACGATCCTTAGGGTTAGGGTATGGCACCCTTTACGATCCTTAGGGTTTAGGGTTAGGCACCCTTTACGATCCTTAGGGTTAGGCACCCTTTACGATCCTTAGGGTTAGGGGTAAGGGTTAGGGAACCCCAGCTGCGCTAATTATAATCTGAAAAAGTGCGCCCGGTAAAGTGCAGTACTCCCAATTATTTCTTAGGAAAACATTTTTGACGTACAAAATATTTTTTTATGTTTCCATAATTTTCTCATTCCATACTTTTACACATTTTGTTGAGAGTGGCGCCCTCTATGTAGAGGTTTCAGATGGTTCGGGGTACAGCGCTATTGATAGAATGTTGTTTGTGAGTGAAAAAATTAAACAAATACACACAAGAACATGGAATCAATGATGACCAACAAAGTGAAGTCTTCAAATGAACATTTGTTTCGTGTACAGGAGAGTGCAGCCGTAAACGGCAAGCAAGGTTTGCAGACAGCAAATGAAAAGAAGGGAAACAACTCTTCTCGTACTGAACCAAGAAGGTCCTCCCGTCTAGAAATCGCAGGAGTTAAAGTAATTTGACACTTTCTATGTTAAAATATTTGTGGCATCGAATAATTTTTTGTGGTTGTTGTGTATAATGTTTGTGTGATGCAACACACCTCGTTATAACCCGAGTTAGCACCGCCATTGGAAAACGTATGATATCCGAAAACACATCTCACGATATGCAGTTTATTAATCGTTTTTAATCTTTTGTTTTAAATATTTGCTTTTTTTGTTGATTATTATCTTGCTTACTATACACAGTGTTTGGCCTGATATATAGGAGCTCTGTTGCTGTATCCGTGACCCTGTGACATCTTTATTCACCGACATATAGCTGGACTATGACTGAGTGCAGTGTGAACAAAAAATAAACATCTTTATGAGTTAATCCATCATTTGCCAACCTTTGTTGATTGAACCCTTTCAACTTCAATGGTTCAAACTTCTTTAGCATAGTCTGCACTTTAGCATGTACAGCAACTGTATAGTTGATACCTCCACCTGAATATGTTTTGACTAATTTTAAAAAAGGTCTTGATCGAAAGTGATCATAAGCCTATAGTGCACTTAATTTATCAATTATTAGTCTCAGAATATCATAAATAAGCTTTATCTTCTTTCAGAATGTGGAATGTGAATTGAAAAAACTGTCATTTGAAAACCCTGGAAAGTTCATGGAAGACTTTCACCCTGAAAGTAGTGGGAGAGAGATGAGGAAGATGAACAGGAAATTCTACAAAGAAAAGTAACTGTTTTAGGAACTATTCTAGCCACAAAAAAACTTGTACATTGTTAAAATTCTTTCTAAATTTGAAAATATAACAATAATGAAAAGTTCTGTATAAAATTTAATTGGTGGATATTGAGATCATGTGACAATCATGAATTTCAAAACAGCATGGTATTAATCAATGTCCTTGACATTGACGTTATGAGTCCAAATGCAGGGCAGAGGTCATCCATAGGGATTTCAAGGTTAGAACAGACCCTCAGCCATTGTATGAATTGTTTAAAACAACACAGTATGCAAACAATGAACCATAACGAGAGTATGTTAAGTTTTCTTTGACTGTTTCATAAACAATTGCATGAAAAACGAACACTTTTAGCATTCAATTTTATGTTTGAATGCCTGTTTCAGTGTGAGGAAAAACCAGCTGTATGATGAAGCTGGGATTTTACTAGAAAACAACAAGGATTTGTGCGACTGTTTGGACGTCCACTGCCCTGGGTGTCACTTCCCATGTCCCAAGTGTGGATCAGAGAAATGTGGAACTGACTGTCGTTGTAACAGAAAATGGACATATGAACATATCAATGTAGAAGGCACTAATGTTTTGTTTAAATGGCCAACATAACTTCATTGCACTGTTCAGAAACATCTGCTTGAGCAGAGTTAGATGGTTAGTCTTAGACTTCTGGAGATTGTGAGGACTAGTTGTCACCCCTTGAACCTAATTCCATTAACCACCGGTCTTACATTTGTTATTCTGTATTAGTTTGAAAATGCTTACACTAGCCTTAGTGTCTGTCCCAACTTAACAGTTTCTGTGAGTAAGGAGTACTATGTTTGTTCTCAAGACTGAGGTGGGTGGTGGGTTGCCTAGTGGTTAAAGTGTTCACTCATCACGCCACAGACCCGAGTTTGAATCCCCACATGGGTACAATGTGGGAAGCCCATTTTTGGTATCCCCAGCTGTGATATAATGCTGAAATATTGCTAAAAACAGCATAAAACTATAGTCATTCATTCAAAATTGAGGTGGGTATCCTGGAGAAATGCAAGTATATTGCTGAACATAGAGATTTTTCTGGGTTACATCTTCTTTTTATTCTTGAGTACAACGTTTCAGGGCTTGTTCTGGCCCCATCATCAGGTAACTGATATTTTTCTGGGTTACATCTTCTTTTTATTCTTGAGTACAACGTTTCAGGGCTTGTTCTGGCCCCATCATCAGGTAACTGATGTTTACCTGATGATTGGGCCAAAACAAGCCCTGAAAGGTTGTACTCAAGAATAAAAAGAAGATGTAACCCAGAAAAATCTCTATGTTCATCAAATAGCATCTTCTAAAATGCCAATCAAGCACCTAGTTTATTGCCGTAAGGGACATTTAAAGCTTTATATATTGTTGCAGTGAGGTGACAACAAACACAACTTGACTTCATTGTTAATTTATGAACACTCAGGGGTGGAAATAACCCGTTGCCCGACGTCCGAGTCCAGTGTTTTTTTCTGTTGGCCAAGCAAGTTTGTATATCACACTGTACCGGTGTCCAGTTGACTTTCAAACGTTAATTATGTTGTTTATTTAAAAAATCAACAAGAAAACAGACGGTATAGTGGAAAAATTATCAGGGCAAGTGATTTTACATGTGCCACTGTACCGGAGTACACTAGCAATTTTAAGGTTATTTCCACCCCTGACACTGTATGCTATTTATGTTGTCAGTATGTCTGAGGGTCACACAGGTCACAATTTCAGCTGACCTACATTCCAGTGTCATCTTTTTTATTCATCTTCAGTGATGATCTCTGTATCACAAGGTACAACTCATTGTCTTTAGATCATAAATGAATCACCTGTATGGTCCAAGCATTTCCAGATTACTCTGAATGTTAATGTATTATTGAGAAGTGCCTTATGTCTTTTTTCCTGTTTAGTATTGTGTAGAAATTCTTCTGCAGACTTATGGAGATGCATCTTACTACTTCACCAGCACTGATGTCTGTATTTACAATAGCAAGATCTCTTTACAGCTTCTTATGAGCATATGTTCTAGTCATAGATGTCTTAGGTCAGACCTAAGCAGGAGACTTTTGTTGTTCTCTGGCTCCAACTATATTAGTAAGGGTGCTGGGGAAAAACGAACAGAACTTCCCTGACTGTTGGACTTTTTGTTGCACATCTACAGGTTAAAGATTCTCCAGATACTCAAGTGAAAATCTTTACTTCCATTTATTTAGAAACTTCTATCACATCTAAATAACAACCATTGATTTTTGTGAAGCAACCCCTAAAATCATAGAGAAGTAGTGTTCAACTCTTACAAGTTTGCTTGACAGAGAAATGTTTGATTTCAACACCTCTAATTAGTATTAGACCAATGCATGGCAAAAACAAAGTGTTGTATAATACTTTTGAAAAAGACAATACGAACAGTCACATGTGGGTTTTTGTTAGTCAAGTTTGGGTTTTAGTAGTCACCTTTACAATGTTTGCCTGAAAAGCACATTTATATTTACAGCTCATTACACCTTTTCATATTGATTATTACTTGGTGCTATCTAATTTAGTTCAAAGTGGGAGGTAGAACACTCAAGTGTTTGCAAGCTATAGTCATGTTTTGATTTGTATGGTGCTAAAGGTTTTGCCATTAAGAGAACATTAAGCTACAGAATTGTGTACCAGATAAGCAGAGATGGCAACCTCTACGATTTTATCGTAGTCGCTACGATTGTTAGCCTCAAACTACGCCACTACGATTGCACTAGAAATTCTATGAAATTTGAAGAAACTTCATTAAAATTCGGATATATAGACAAAAACATATATTTTCGTTAATTAAATACATTTTCACCAAAAAGAGACGACAAGAAGTAATGTAATGCTGATAATTTGGTAATCTGCCGTTGGAGGTATGTGAAATTAAAGCTTCACTCTTGATTAGTGTCATATTATCTTTCTCAGAATCCATCATGAGTTTAAGTATTTAGTTGACTACTAATTTTATGGTCAAACTACTGATTTTGATCCTTGAAAGTGAAACTACTATTTGCAACACTTTGGGGTTGGCATCTCTGGATAAGTGACTTCGCCAAGCTTCAAGTTGAGTAATGCTTGCAAACTTTCAGGTATTGTATTGTTGTAATGTGAAGTACTGTGCACCTTTGTTACAATTGTCCGAGTGGTTGATATACCTAGCACTGTGGAAGTGCATCATGTCACTGATTCAATACTGAAAGTAATGACTAAGTTTTCTATCTATTGCTATTGCATCATAAAAATCTTGTACCCTGAAAAGATTGTACCACTACTACCGGTGAAGCTATGTCAATATGTTCCCTCTAATTTGTTCAAGTGGATCGAATCTTGTTTTCAGAATGGTCACCTTGGCAACATTCTCAAGAAATCCAAATTATGGCCATTAATTAGACATTCATCTTTCATAGTGTAATGAAATTTGTTGCAGCATTTGTTAGAACTCACCATTTATGTCCATTTTTGGATATGTTGTAAATGTTCATGTTAATTTGACCTTTGCACTTAGGCTATACTTAGAGCTGAAACTGTGCTAAGTGGCTTACTTTGTTGACACTTTGAGCTACTGACTACATCCAAGTTATTTTGCAGTACCATGGCTCTATAATCAAATAATATTCACGGGTAGTAAACAGACATAATAAGGTAAGAATATTGTGAACACGCGTGTAGAACTGGACTGTTCTGCAAAAGGTGACCATATGTATAGAAATAAGGTTTTCTGTACCAGATAATTATGACAATTTTCTGAAATTAAACGCAGTGAAGTGATTTGGTGATATTTAATATTTATTATATATATATTTAATCAAGTAAATGAGTGTGTAGACCATTAAATCATAAATCTGGATGTAGTTATGGTTCCTGTTTAATTGTTTGCCTTTAGTTTGTGTTTATGGTACATAGAGAAAATTGGGAACATATAAAATTATCTCCAATTCTCTGTTGCTAATATTGTTGAAGGTGTGCCTTGTCCATTCATTTCATGAAGGTAGAAGTGTTGTACTAAAGGCAGCAAACTCATATCATATTTTCCTGTCAGCTGTCTGAATTGTTCGATTTCAATTTGTAATTTTCTATGGTGCTTTGCAAGCTGTTACATATGTAATTGCATTAAATGCATGAAAATAATCTTACAACAGGAGTGTCACTTGTTTTTAGATTGTCTTACCTATTCGGTTTGGTGATCAATTTTAGCACTGCCATAACAGTCTAACAGTTTTCCCTAGGAATGTAGTGAAACTGCTATTCTGACATCTCTGAAACTACCAATATAAACCCACTTATGCTATGTGTAAATATGAAATTTCTGTATGTATCAAGCTGTCATATTACATGGAAAGGTTAAATGTCTGTATTAACCTCCCTTCTGTGATCTATTGACTTAATTCACAGAGGTTTGCTGTCCATCCTGATTTCATTGGTGTTCCAAGATTGTGCTTGTTAATTTTTGACAAATCATGCCAGAAAATGAGGTAATCAAATGAACACTTGGTCACCATATTATGTCTGAAATCTAATTTGTTAAGTCCTCATGTCTATGCTCAATTAAGGAGTTCTTAATATTTCCATTCTTGAATTTCATAAAGCCCAACAGTTTTTATGCTGGTGAGATAAATATGTTGATATGTATAAATGTATTAAGGTGGGATAGACAGACAGACAGACAAACTGATAGATCCCTGTCGTTCATGGATCAACCTGTTATGATCTTTGGATGGTATTCTAATTCTCAGAACATCTAGATGACCATGAACTTGGCATTGCCAAGGGAGGCAACTTCACACAGCTAGTTGTGACCCCTCCTGTTTGGAAGATTACAAGGTAAAATTGTTCATCAAAGAAGAGGCCGTCGGATGACACTTGTTTGAATGGCAGTCCATTCTTGTGCGGAGCTTTGCGCTGCAGATTCTGTAGCCCTGGTTGAGGTCTCGCTCATCCCACATGATTTCTGGTGACCTTGACGGCCACGACCGTATGTAGATGTTCTTAAGCATTCGATAAATCAGTATGGACTCATGTTGTGCGAGTTCGATCATTGAAATGTAGGAAAATGACGCCGTGTTGGAAGCACGTGACATCTCGTCACGATAACGCACTCCTGTTAAGTGGTTATATAAACAAGATCTTCTCTTCGTCCATATGAGATAGCTCCAACATCACCACACCTTATTCACTGAATCTGTGGACTAGTCCTACGCAGCACCACCTATAAAGCTCTCCCCTTCGCTGTCACACACTTAATTTGCACAATCTCTTCTTGAAAATGGAAACGGGATTCGTTACTAACCAAACAATACACCAACGTTAGGGGTGGCCTCCGAAGGTGTAATGGACCCAGCCACTGAAGTTGATTACGTTTAAGGTAGATAATGCCAAAATAACACGTGTACATACAAATACCTTTTTTATATTTCTGTGGAAAATTTAATCAACTGGTTTGCCTTTGATTATGCCAGTGGAGCACAACACAACGTGTCCGATCTATTCACGAAGGTTGTTAGATGACCTTTGGCTTGTAGAACAACAATGCAAGGCGTCATTTCTTAGGCTGCTGACAGCTGGACGTTAGAGGGTTTTTTGTCTAATCGACCCATGTGTATAATAATATTTAAACGGGCCAACACTCCTTTATGTACACACGATCTTTACCTAATAGTCATAGACGCACAACGGCAGTATGCTATAGATATGTATTAAATGGCGCGTGCACGCACACACTCGCACTCAAAATAACATGGCAGGTTCTGAACAGAACAGAAATTTTATTCCCCAATCACATAGTGTGACACAGAGAAATTAATATATATTAAAACATTGAGCAAAGTCCAGTTTTGATAAATTTGGCAACTTTAGAGTTAAGTGGTGAATAATCACATTTCATTAGATAAACAAATTTTTCAATAGTAGGATGTGTACAGAAATATTGGGGAAGAAATTGATGTCTGAGGGCATTTAGTGCTGACCAGTATAATAAAAAGTGAAGTTCATCACAGACAGATGATGTACAAAGTTGGCAGGTTCTATTACATCGTTTGATGCCGTACCAACGTCCTGTTTCAATGGGTAACCTGTGGTTTGAAGTTCTAAATTTAGTTAACCAAAGCCTATAGTAATAAGGTAATTGTAACAAATAAGGTT